TAAGCCAGCCAGACTGGCCATTGGGCAGTGTGAGAATTTTCCCAATGTGCTGTGTACAGACATGTCATTATCTGTATCTGTTGAACCAACAAAATGATGTGTCTCTGTGTCTGTATTCTGATCGAAGACTGGAGGTGGGTGTGGCTTATACCAGAAGTGACGTTAAATCTGCAACTACTGTACTTTTAATCTTTCTCCTTTAAAAAAAAAAAGAAAGAAATAGTCACATGTGTATCCTTCTGCTAACTTCGCCAAGGTCCATCACTAGCTCTCCCCGTCAGCTCGATCTGGACCACTGTAATGCATTGACCATGAGTGTCAGTATATGAGCACACTCTAGTTCTAGCTGATTTGGCCATGGAGATATGAGTGATGACTGGCTTGACCAGAGTTCCTTTCAGAAAGTGCTCTGCAGGTGACCAAAGGTCCAGTATGTAGGAGATAGGAGCCCATATTGGCAGAAATAGTATACTATTCCTCACTGTGTTTTTCATTAGTTGATAATCACTTGAAAAAAAATCAATGTGTTTTCATTACCTTAGAACAGGCCATTAATGTCTACATAAGGAGCCGGTCCTTTCCACAGAGTCCACCATGTTGTTTCTACACTAGCCCAGAACAGATAAACCAAACACTGACTCTGCTTAGCAGGGACATCTGGACCCACTGGTTTCCAGTGAATAAGCACCCCCCATCAGTAGCTGTCTGAAGACAAGGGATGAGCTTATATAGCTAGCTGTAGACTTTGTTAGTTGGCTTAGGTTGGGAGACTCCAGTTTGTTTGTGTGGACTACCTTTTGGTTTTGTTAATGCACAAAGGCATTCAGCACTTGTTCACTCACTTGTTCAGCTTGTTTAATGGGAAAGGTTGTTGTTATAGTCAGTGATTGGGCCTTGACACACTCCCACACTCTTGTGCATTGCTCCTCATGTCTGTCTTGCTCCGCCTGCCCCTTCAACTAAAATCTTGTTTGTCTCCCTCTATAGTCTTTAAGATTCTTCCCCTTGTACCAAGGTTGTGGATATCATCCTGTGAAAAGCAGTTCAGCTATTGCTGGGATTTCATCTGGGATTGGTGGGAGAGATCGTGGTGGAACCACTTTTTTCTATGAGGGCATTGTGACCACCTTCTCTGAGCATAATACAATCAATACAAAGTGACAGATTTTTCTTTTTTTCTAATATGTACTCATTGATCGACAAACGTGTCAGTTTGTCGTATCAAATTGGGGCCACTTGACAGCAAATTCAAATGCTGCTTCTTGATGCCAGTCTGCCCCTGCTGCTGGCTGTAGCTTTTTATTGAACCGACAGAATTGATAACAATATTCATCCTTTCATCTAACTCTTGGCAAAAAAGCAAATAAGTCCATTTCCCAAAACATTAAACTATTCCTTGAAGAACAAATAGATATTGATATCCACCTGAAGTGCAATCTTTGCTTTCAAAGATTCTGGTGATGCAAAGTGAAAATGCCCTTGTGCGTTCTTTGTTGTGTTGATTTAGCAGAGGCAGAGATATAATGACGCTGGCATGCAAAACACCTGCGGTACTGTTAGGAACCTTATGTGATACTAATAAATATAGTGGAGGTCACCAGAGTGTGTGGTCCCATGCCATTTGGAGTTCCACAGTGTTAAAAAGGTTGAAGATGCTTGTTATGGATTCTTGATAACACGAAATTAAATGGTAGAGGGATTTATAAATGATACTTAAGTAATTTAATTTTGTGATGTTAATTTTTTATTTGGGAGGGAGTGTGCATATCTAAAATAATTGCACTGAAGTAAGGTAATTTGCATCTGCAGTCCCTGGGCAGAAAAGACAACTAATAAGTTCAAGATAATAATAATAAAACAGGATGCGATAAGTTGTAATTTCACAGACATTTAGGTGTAGTAAAGTTTGGAATTTTAAAAAATGATGTGGGAAAAAATGCAGCAATTGGTTACTCTTCACACAATAGACTGTCAAATTTACTGAATATTTTCCAAATTAATACAGGAAACATAACATCCTCAGTGAGCATTATATATGCATTATTTTATATTATGTAGCAGTCATACAAAATTGCAGAATAGCAGAGAATTCTTCCGCAGTCAAACTCCATGTTTTAAGAGAAACCCCAGAGGCACATTGAGCAAAACTGTTTGAAAAAGACATGAGGGATTATTCATAAAACTCCCCTGCAGGGTTGTCGTGACATTATGGGCTGAGAGCGTCACGCTGAAGTGTTCCCTTATTCATAAATTACCCGGTCAGTCTAAATATACCATCAGACTACAGCAGGTGGTTTTCTTTTGGGCTGAAAAGGGCTTTTATGAATTATTACGAAACATGCGAGTGGAGAAGAGGTGAGGTGGGGGTGTACAAACACAATACTGAGCAGGGGAGTTCAGATTAGTGAATGAAAATCCGCTCAGCCGCACACACACACTCGGGAACAAACAGTCAGCGTGAAAGTACAAGCATAATTAGGATGGACAATGGGTTCACGGCAAACAGACTCCAAACACAGGCTTTGTAAAGACATGCAAATTAAAATGACTAATATTTACTTATTTAAACTGTCCAAAAAAATCTAGCTGCAGTTAAGTAAGTAAAAGTTTAAGAAAATTTTTTAATAGGATGAATTCCCAGATGAGGTAATAACATTTTTATGACTATCTTAACCAAAGACACTAAAGTTCTAAAGGTCCAGTGTGTAGGATTTTAGGGGATCCATTGACAGAAATTGAAACTAGTATACATAAGTATGTTTACATTAATGTATAATCATCTTAAGCTAAGAATCATTTATTCATTAGCTCAGAAAGAGCCCTTCATATCCACATAGGGAGCAGGTCCTCTTTCAAGGAGTCCGCCATGTTTCTACAGTAGCTTAGAACGGACAAACTAAGCACTGCCTCTAGGTTGGGTCGCATTTTTATGTTACCTAAAGGCCACTGTAGTTCTCTGACATGCTTGGAAAGAGATGGGTGAGTGGAGGGGTAGCAAAATGTCCAACCTCACGGCTAGTCATCACTAAGTCCTACACACTGGTCGCTAGGGTTGGGTCGGTTCTCGGTGATACCAATTCGGTTCGATATTCTGTCTTGGACCGGGTTTTTTTTTTTTTTTGAGACTGACTGGACCGCATATGAACATACGCGGAGCGGACTCTGCGGAGGTCCGTCCGGACTAAAAGCGGATGTCCGCAAGCCCTGTGCGCGCAAAGCTCAGATTTTACAACCGTGTACCAGTGTCACACAAAAGACTGCTCGGCATGTATTTTTCACATCGCGGGGATTTTTCGCGGGGATTTTTACAGGAAACTGAGCTAGGGGGTGCGAGTGCGCATGCGCTGAGGCCTCTACTGTAGCCTGGAATTTGTTTAACAGTGACGGGGAGTCGATAATGGCGGACAATTTAGTCTCAAAAAAATCAAAGAATGCTCCAATATGGCAACACTTTGGCTTTGAGCCAGATGAAGGAGGCACTGATTGAGTAAGCTAAACCTGCAAATTTATTTGTAAGGAATAAAAGAAACAATGTGTTACTGTCACTCTGTTGTCCTATAGTCGTTTTTTATTTTAAATGAGTCAACTGCGCCCCCAAGTGGCGAAAATCCAGTATTACCGACTTGATGCCGTTTTTCACAACAACTGGACCGTTTTGTTTTTTCTCATACCGACCCAACCCTACTGGTCGCTGAAGTAATATTTGTCATTTGAAGTTTTTTTTATTTATGCTTTACTTTTTTCAGCAATATTTTCCAAAAGGTCTTTATTAAAGTTGAAATGATAAGTCAATTAGTCTTAAGTAGATGCCAGTTTACCAGTTTACCGACTATGTCTGGTGCAAGGTTGTTCAGACACTTTAACATTAATTTTAAAACTGTCAAAACTCAATATATTGTATTTCTGTAGAATTAGGCTGTGGTGCCATCCAGCAGGTTTCTGATCCATTACTTCCAATACCTGTTTATATAATGACCTAATGGGTGTGTGCGATCGATTGGCCTGACCCCACACAGTTATACAGTCTGATAAATGGGGAATTATCATAGGATGCATGAACTGCTGTGCTGCCCTTAAAGGTATATATTTTCTTATTAAGGGAAAGCAATTTAGATTTGTTTTAACAGTTTTGCACAGTCTTTTCACGTCTATCAAACTTAAGCTGAGAATCTAAAATTACATCTAAAAATTTAGACTCATGTCATAAGAAAATTTGCTTTATAGTTGTCAGTAACTTTTAATAGTTGATAGGTTATTTGTTTCAGTAACTTTCAAGCAAAAATGTAAAACATTTCCGGTTTCAAACTCTCAGATGTGGGAATTTTCTTCTTATCTTCATTTTAATATCACTGTTAGTCAGACAAAACAAAGCAATTTGATGACTGGCAGATGTAACCCTGATTCTGTTTCAAGTTCATCATGGATGTTCCATTATGAGTGGCTGCTGTCCTTTAAAGATGTAAATACATTGTCAGACACTATGAAACACCACGTGAATGCCTAAATCTTCCTTTTCATGAACTGTTGTCATTCATCTTTTGGTGTTATCTGGTTTACTATGCAAAATACTCAGATCATGTTGTGAAGTGTCGTGTCATTCGTGTCACACGTGAATTGATGTCTGGGCACAACAGTAATACTTAAAAGACAGAAGAAGTATTCAAAGCATGGAGGTCAGTTTGTGCCGATTTTTGAGCAAATATGATGAAGTTGCTGCCTTCCCATTGCTGGAAAGAACAGTGGTGTATCCAGATGAGTGTGAAGACACCATTAGTACGTGAGCTTAAAACAGTTGGCATTGGTCTTTTGGCACGCCATACACCACCAGTGTGTGTTTTCCCTTTTAAGAGTGATTATGTAAATAATAAAAGACAGCTCTCTTTTACCAGGTATCTTTAAATTGTATCCTGTTTATCAATGTCCTGACCGTACCTTTAGAGCTACAGGGGGTTGCCTTAGTACTTTTCTCACAGTTTCGTCCCTTCTTTTCACCTCTTCAGCTCTTCTCCATCGTGATCTTCGGCTGCATCGCCAACGAGGGCTACATCAACCGCCCCGACGAAGTGGAAGAGTACTGCATCTTCAACCGCAACCAGAACGCCTGTAATTATGGCGTCTTCATGGGCTCCATGGCCTTCCTCTGCTGCATGGCCTTCCTGGCTCTGGACGTCTACTTTCCCCAAATCAGCAGCGTCAAAGACCGTAAGAAGGCAGTGCTGGCTGATGTCGGGGTGTCAGGTAAAGCCATTATGCATTCATACTTCATTTAGCTTCATTTAGTTCTGATAAAGATTCATTTGATAATTTTGGTTTCAATTAGTCCTCCTCTTTTTCTTCCTAAATCCACTTCCCACACACTCTCTACAGAAGAGTGAAGCTTCTTAAAAGCAAGAGGAAACATTGACTGCATAGCATTAAGGCAGAGACAGATGCATGAACAGGAGTTTAAAGACCGTGTGCAAGGCAGTTGATACAAATGAACCTGGAACAAATAAATTCAAGTTGAATAGCTCTTTGAAAACAGATTCATAAAGTGCTCAACAGCTTGTGAGGCAATAACACTTAAAACCTAATAAAATAAATTAGTACAAGGCAATCAGAGAGCACATGTCCCACCAACGCAGCTATCCTTTTTAATTTTTTCTTTTTGCTGTAGCACCCAAGGACATGACTGCCATGATTTACAGAAAAAGATTTTTCTTGACCCACAATTTAACACATACCAAATCTGATCAGTCATTTCTTTATCTGACAGGCACTTTGTTTGAAGCATAAGAAGCTCAGATAAATCAACACATATCCTTACGTTAACTGCCCTGGGGCATGCTGGGAGGGTTCCCCACAGCCTACCTCTTGGGACCCACAACACGATTAGCTTATCCAGCTGTCATGACAACCATTACAGCAAATTCACAGACACAGAAGAGACTAAAAGAGGCTAAAAGAATGAGTGAGAATGTGTTGATTTGATGGATTGATTAATGATGTGAGAAAATTGTTCCTCATTAATGAGTTTAACAATAAAAAGATACAGTACTAAAAGCAGGTTTGGGAAAATTGGAAAGAGCAGCTTGTGATTTTTATCATTAAATCCACTCTAAAGAAACAAGTCTAGCTGATGTTATTGCTGCTGTTGCCATACTTTGTATAGGAAGTTGACTTAGCATACATGCTGAGTGCCAGGATTGTCCTCTTTTCAACTCGTACATTTCTACTCTTGTGCTACCAGACTGCATGTACTGGGGTCGGGGTCAAGGTGCTTATCTTGTGAGTCAGCTATAAGGTTCCGACATTTAATCTCTTTCTCCTAGACCGATTTTCTCAGCTGATAAAAAGTCCCAAAGTACCCCACCCTCAGAGAAAATGAGCCCTCTTTTCAGTCTATAAAGAAATGACATTTCAGAGATTGGTAATTAGGTTATCATCACAACAAAGGGAGAGGAGGTGTGAGTGGGATAATAAGGAGAGGAGGACTCTTCTGGTGCTAACAAGCCTCTGAGACATTATGTTTTGGTGTCTCCTCAGCGGCTTCCTCTCCTCTCCTGCTGCACTGCCTCTGCAGTGAACTCAGACATGATGACAAGATAGTCAAGTGTTGAGTCGCTTAATGAGGCCGGTTCTGTCACAGACAAGATTTTCCTTCCCCATTTTCATCACTCACACACTTTCTGTCTCTCTTTCTCCCACTACCTCTGTGTTGTAATATGAAATGCTTTAAACCCTTACTTTAAGAAGAGGACAGCTGGTACATGTGTCCTGATCAGACCACAGTCATGTTTCTGATTACATTCTAGCTTTTGTCTCCTCAGTGACCACACATTTAGCAGCAGTAGATGTGACTGGGTGATGTTTGAATCCCCTTAATATCTTGGTCCTCCTCTAGTTGCAACAACTGGCCAGCAGGATAGAACCTAATCTGGTTTTGGGGTTGCTGCTGTTTATCTTCTCATTTTACATGTGGAATTCCACAAGGATCAATCCTTGGTCCCTTTTTGTTTTCAACAGATTCACAACTGCCTCCACAGTCCTCATCATTGTTATACTAATAATATACAGTTTAATTTCACACTCTGGACCTCCAACTATAGCAGTTTAGCTGTTTTAGCCTACCTTCCTGATGCCAGTGTATCTAAGTATTTGACTTACTTTAAATCTAAATTATACCACCTCAACAGGTCAGAGGCCCCACCATGGATTGGACTTGGCTCTGACCTGTCTAGGCACTGACACAGCACCCATGGGGGTGCCCTGGGGTGTTTGGACCGAGGGAGCTGGTGGCAGATCTTTTGAGTCCTGTGGGTTGTGAGGTGGGATATCGGCACGTCCCAAAGATGCTCAATCGGATTGGGGTCTGGAGAATTTGGAGGATAGATAGAGGCCTTGAGCTCTTTGTTATTATCAAGCCATTCTTGAACTGTTTTGTGGCATGGTGCATTGTCCTGCTGCCACTGCCATCAGGGAGTGCTTTTGCCATAAGGTGGGTGGGGTATGTAGTCCGCAAGGGTGTGGTGCATGTCGAGTGGCATCTACATGAATGCCAGGACCCAGCAGGTTTCCCAGCAGAACATTGTATTGTAATAAGGTGAACAGGGTTATTCACGTCACTTGTAGGTGGTTTTAATGTTTAAGCTGATAGGTGTATAGCATTATTTTAACACTGTTTATGTATCTGTCTCTCTTCCCAGCGTTCTGGTCCTTCATGTGGTTTGTGGGTTTCTGTTTCTTGGCAAACCAGTGGCAGGTGACCAAACATGAGGACAACCCACTGAGGGAGGGAGGAGACGCTGCCCGGGCAGCCATCACCTTCTCCTTCTTCTCCATCTTCACCTGGGTAAGGGCCTCCACACCTCATTGGTGCTTCGTATAACACTACACAACAAAACACCTGCCGTTAGGTGGTGATGGATGTCCTAAGAAGACACTGAACACCTTAGATTGTGGATCACCCTTGTGTTCTTTTTGATGAGCTATTGAAAATGTGAATGTCTGCTGCTCCTCCATTTTCTTTTTGGTTAGTGTTTGGATATGTGTGGTCATGTTAATTTGTATGTGTACAAGTGATCTCATAAGATGTTGTTCCAACAGGGTGCTCAGACTCTCTTCTCTATGGAGAAGTTAAAGAATGTGTCGTTTGAAGAGGAGTACACCAAGCTTTTCCCCCCTCAGCCCCATCAACCTTTTGTCTGACTCTGCTCTGTCTTCTCTCCCTGCTGCCTTAACCCTCCACAGTTGGTCCTACACACTTTTATTACTCAGCTGTGGCTGCGCTTGTTTAAAGGCACCTAGTCACATGAAAGTTGTACCATCATTGACGCCAGTAAGATGTTGCTTGATGTTTTTTCCTACCATAGTTTATTTTCTGACCCAAGCACAATGTGATGATAATGTGTGCGCAGGTGGGTTGATTCAATTGTTGATCAATATGCATGACTCAACAATTACATCGCCAAATGCTGAGATTTTTGGCCTTTAACACCCACTTAAATTCCTGTAATCCGTTCTGGAATGAAAGCTCCCTGCCCACTGGAATTTTAAAATGCTCCCGACCAAAATCTTACATTACAAATTCATGGAGGAGTCTGTTTGAAATTTGAATTAAAACAAGACGTCAGACATTACAGACAAGCAGTATGTTTTAAAATGTGACCATGTGGTTGTTCAGTTTTTTTTACTTTATATTCAGAGCTGGCAGGTCAGTGGTGCATTGCTGAAGTAGCTGGGTGTACTGTAACACAGGCACAGAATCTGCCCAGCTGTAGCTTTATCCCCAAACCTGGAGCCTTTCAAGTGCAGTCTCAATTTATAGAACAGAGCACCACTTCTTCTCATCATTAACATGGTGGTCTACAGAGACATTGGTGCTTTAACCTTTTGCTATAGGGGACAGTTTTTATATGTAACAGTTCAGTTATGTGATTTCACTTTTTTTTTTAAACTGACTTGTTTTGTCAATACGTTGCTTAAAACTGTAAAGGTTTTGTATTTCTTTTGCTTTTTGATAAAGCTACATTCAAAATCTTCTCCTCAGTCCTTAAAAGAATAGTTTTACATTTTGGGGAATACACTTATTAACTGAGTCTCCTGCTTTCAGTCTGCATTGGCCCCTCCCGGATGTTGCAATACTGTGATCACAAGAGTCAGGGCCATTTCAAAGTCGATGCACGCAACGCACACAAGCGACGCGAGCAGAGCACTTCCTTTCATAGTCAACACATTGAACGCAAGCGACACGGGCGACACTTGAAATGCAATACATCGCTCACGCAATAGGGGGTAACAGAGTCACCGGTACATTCTGGCTAGCTGGTACTGCTGTAGCTAGCTAGTACTGCTATTTTATTAGAGTGCAGGGCACTAGAACTGTCATATTTCATACCTGCTCCTTCTGTGAATAACAAAAAGTGGTTAATTTCAAGTACGTCACTTGCATTATCACCCCCGCTGGCAACGCATGGTATTACACGCGTCGCAAATTTTAAAAAAAATGGACAACACATTTTGAGATGCAAGCACTTCATGGTGGCCAATGCGTCTCGATGCGTCCCAAGGCATTTGCATCTGCGTGCCTTTGCCTCGACTATGAAACGGCCCTTAATGTAAATTCAATCAATCCCTGTGAATTCTGCACGACCTTGCAATTTCCGACAACTTTTCGGCAAATTTGACCAACCGTTGTAGTTTCCATGTGTCACCAAATTCACTGTCTTGTTTCTGACATGCAACACAAACATCTCACATTTACAACACAAGTTACTGCTAAAGGCTGTGCAGTGACAAACTGTGTAATACTTTAGGAATAAAAAGTCTCAAATAAAATGCAAGCATGGTATGAAAACTTTTTTAAGGCCTTTTTGGTAAGGTTACTGAGAACTCAGTGTGGTTTTATTCTTACTCGTGTTGAAGAGACAGACATTAAATCTTCTCATCTAATGCTCAGCTTTAAAGTGGAGACATGTATTTCCCAAAATGTCAGACTATTCCTTTCATTTCTCCAGTGTTGCATATCAAAGTTTTTCGATGTGAATCTCATTGTTTTTCCCTCTTTGACTGTTTCATTAAGTTTTATAGGTAGATTAGTTGTTTTTTTTATAGCTTTTTGAGATTTACTTCACAGTTTGATTGGACTGTTTTTAATTAAATTGAAGTATCAAACGGTTTTATTGCATTAGAATTTTATAGACTGGTGCATGTAACTGGGCCATAAATAAGTTTTATTACATGACTACTATATTAACATGTCCCACATCCATTTTAACAAAAAACAAAAAAATGTGAATTTTTAGGGTTCTGTCTGTAAATTGTGTTTTTATTTTATCAAGAAGTAACAATTTCTCTAAAGGTTTATTGACTTGTTTCATATTATGCAATCACCCAACCCGACAAAATCTTCGATGGGCCCGTGACAGAGTGGTGTATCAGACTGAAAGAGTCAAAACTGTTCAACCAGATTCGATCTGTCTGCAACATCTTATCGATTTGAGACACACCAGTAAATAAAACCCTCGTGAAACTTCCCAGCACTGAGAGCTTACATCAGCTCAACTCCCTCTGTGGTGTTCTCTCTCTCTTTCTGTGAGTGTCTGTGTTTGTTCTGTGTGCCCATTGTATCGTTGGCTTTGGTCCACTGTTGCCTTGAAACATCTGTAGTTATCGACAAAAATGAGTCTTGTGGTGTTTTACAGTGCAGGGCCTCAGCTGTTTAATAATGCACGCAGACACAGTTTAATTGCTTGGTCTCTATGCCGCTGTGGACTTGAGTGGCGCTGAGGTGGTGTTTCTCATTATGGAGCTGAACAATGGATAAATAGCCTTTTTGCAGCGCTGCCTATAGAACTAACTTGCTCTGACTGACTAAATGACTCACTCAAACTACCTAATAAGCTTCATAAGCTTTCCAAGCCAACTAATCAATGTTTCCTTCTCTCTCTTTCTCCTCCCCAAACCCCTGCTCTAACACTTCTGCATCTCTGCTTCTACATCTATCCATTTCGCCACACCTTTCCCCCATCTATTTATCCTCTTTGCCTTCCTGTCGGCTTCCATCTCCAATCCCTCCGTCCCCAAGGCGGGCCAGTCCTTCCTGGGCTACCAGAGGTACAAGCTAGGGGCCGACTCAGCCCTCTTCTCCCAGGACTACACAGACCCCAGCCAGGATGCAGCCGGAGCCCCTTACACCTCCTTCGGTGGGGACGACCTGGAGAGCCCAGGAGGAGGGGGCCAGGCCAACAGCGACGGGGCCTTTGATGGCACCGGAGGCTACCAACGTCAGGACTACTGAGAAATATAATAGGGGGGGAAGACCTTGTGAAGTTGCCCATAGTTCCTAATTTAGAGCAGGATTTGTGTAGTTTCTGTCACACTAAAAAATATTACAGTTTGGTTAATATAGCACAGACGCAATACCAGTACCAATGGGTTGTTTTGGCCCAGTGTTAGACACAACAACCACCCCAAAGTCAAAAATTCTTTTTACATTGTAGTTCAGCTGAGCAGGACTCCATTAACGTTAAAACCCGCTGCCTCTGCACACTCGTCGCCAGACTCCCTCTACACCTCTGCTGGACTCTGCGTTGTGATTTTTTTCTTCATAGTTGCAGTGGAGTGTCTTGTGGAGAGAAGGAGGCAGTAGACGCAGGATTTGGGATTGTGGTTGAGACCTTGACTGCGGTTTATCTCACAGTAACACTCAATAACATCTCTGTTGCTGGCATCACGTCCTCAACAAAATCATCAACCTTGCAGGGCAAGAGAAAATAAAATTTGAAAAACATTGCGTCCTAAGCAAAATCTCAAAGCTACGGTGCCCTGCTGGGGACAAACAGTGTGAACTACCACGCTTGCTGCGAAATAGACAGCATGATAGCACCTCCCACTGGCTTAAACAGGTAGCTGTCTTACATTTACATCTGGAGCTGTCACTAACATGAGCTGCTCACGCATGAGTAGATGCACACTTCCTTCTGTGCAGTGATACAGGTGGTGGTTGTAGTTTGGTAGAAAGAAAATAGTTCCTACATGGTTTTGTAGTTTATCCTGAGTAACAGCATCATTATTTCTGGAGAGAGACATTACTGCTGAGTTTGTCAGATGTGCTTTTTCGCTCTGTGAGCACCAAATGACAAGTGCTATCTAGTCTTATTATATTTGAGACAAGGCAGACATCTCTATGGTCGATATCTCACACCAAAACAATCTGGATTGATAAACAGCACTACAGGTAACGGGAAAAATATGTATTTTTGATTTTGGGATGCACTGTTTATTTAAATTTTACCTTAAATCTGTCACAAATTGGTTGTTAAAGCTGCATTGGGTAACTTTTCTAAAAAATAACTTGTTATATTTGCTGAAACTGTCACCACATCCTGATAGGAGTACATGAGACGTTAATCCGTGGGGGAAAAAAACACGTTCCTCTGCCTCCTCCGAATGCTTCTGCTTTGCATTTGCAAGAATCCACCGTGCCTGAACGAAAAACAACCAATCAGAGCCAGGAGGACTCTCTAACGCAGTGTCAATCACAGCTCGTGCACATGCTGCAGAACTCCAGTGAAGCTCAAGCTGGGCTCTGATTGGTTGTTTTCATTCGGGGCAGTTGATTCTTGCAAATGCCATTAGAAGCACTAATGGCCCACAAATTATCTGTCTCATTCGCTACAATCAGGATATAGTGACAGTTTCAGCAAATATGGCAAAACGTTTTTTTCTATAAAACTTACCTACTGTAGCTTAAAGTGTACAAAACAATAAGCAAAGAACACTCAAAACTGCAAAATAATTGATAACAATTAGTCACATGTAAGATTCAAAAAAGCTAACACCAATACTGAATGAGAACAACCCATTGTGATTTTTTTTAATGCAAGGGTACTGCATAGACTGGAGACATTATTGCATTAGTGCTATATGAACTCAAATTGGGTCAGTTTTGTTTAATGACTTTTAGTGCGAGCATGCGTGCAAAAATGAAAGCACTTAGCTGGGAGGAAAAGTTGGTGGATTTCATGCCTGTGACATGTCGGTTATCGGGCTGATTTCCATATAAAGCTATATTCATCTCTGAGTCAGAAACTGTGGGCAACTTTCCAGATTTTTGGACAAGATGTCAATTAGGTGTGAGTCTGCGGTAGAACAAGAGCAAGGGGTTCAGGGTATCCATGGGAAAAGGTATTGGGATGTAGAGAGTCACTTGGTGCAGTTAAAGATGTCAGGAACAATTTAGGGGCATAAAAGGAGTGTGGGATGAATCGGGAGGTCAAAGGTTTGCAGAAACGGTCACTCTGTAGCAGATCGATGCTTGTGACCACATTGCCTTCATCCTCTGAGGTCTGCTGTCAGTAAGCAAAACGATCAGTGTTAGTTGAAACACACACAGACACACGAAAAACACACATGCAAGCACAGGACATACAGATTTTTAACATACAACACAAGTTTCTGCTGACGAAACTCCTTAGAGGTGCATTACAGGATCTCAGCATAGACAAACAAGCAACAGTGGCATATCTGGCAACTAATCCCCTCAGTTGTAACACAGGACTGTGTTTGTGCGTGGGTCGAAAGGTCTCCATTGGGTTTTTGTTTTTATGTGTGGGTGTGGGACAGTGTGTCTTTTCTTATTTCCCTTAAGAACCCGCTTTTTCTTTCCTCGATTGTTGCCTTAGTGCTGACTGCCAAGCAAAATCCAACGAACACAGGGCAACATAACACCCAACATGCAGCATATCACAGTTCTCTCTCAGCATCTTTAGAGCAAAAATACAGCCGATAAAATTGTTTTTGTCCCCAAGCACGCAGAAACCCCGAACAAAATTAGCATTTGTCGACATTATAGCGCATCCAAAGTAAAAACGTTTCACATCAGCAGGCCTACAGACAACCTACCACACTGATAAACTACAGGTAATTTATCTTTTTCCCATTTTATTTCAACAAATCTGATGAGGCAACCACGAACATCCTGAGTATTTATGAACATGCTCCATTTTCTTAAAGAATAAAGTATATCTATCTCTCTATAAATATATGTAAATCTATAATTCAGTATATTAGAGTGTTTGGAAAAAAGATTATGCTTTATTTTAGGGCATTATGCTAGTTCTGTATAAAAAAAGAAAAGACTAAAGAAAGAAGATCTATGTTCTGTTGAGTGTTATTGTGATAAGATATATGGTGAGGTCATCCACGCCTCATATTTTACGTTGCTTTCAGGGTAAGGAGATGTTTTTATTTTGGGATAATAATACTAACTATAAGAAAAAAATACAGCAACAAAAAATGTGACCAAATTATCAAAGTATATATGCACATATATACTTTAAACTGTACAACTATGTAGACGTAGAAACGTGTGATGTTCCTTTGTGAAATCTGTCGAAAAAAGCAAGGTAAGATTTAAGACAAAAAAGGTTGTGTACAAATGTATGTTTTTGTTGTGTTTGATTTTAACCAATAAAAATAAAGAAAATACTGAGAAAGATATGAATGGCTGGTGTGGGATTTTTGGATTATAATTGCTTCACTCTGTTATTTATGCTTTTTAAAAACCTGATAAAAGTGTGTTTAAAAAGTGTCATATCGATAAATCTGTTTAACTTTCGGGTCCCCTCTAGTGTGGGGGATACATACATATGATACAATACATACACATGTCACCTACCATACTGCCTCATTGAATGAACGAATGAATGACTTCATTTTGAGCAAAATAAAAACAAAACATGCTCAAAAAGTAGTAGGAAGAACCGTACACTTATATAATCCTTCCCCCTTCTCAGTATTCATGTCTCAAAAATCGAAATTGTCAACAAGTATCTCAGTTTTAGATATTAAATATCCTCCTTAGACCCTGTGCCCTCATATGAGGACATCACATTTTGGGTTTACTCAACCTGTCCCAACACCCACACTTCCCCTAGAAATACCCACTTGCACTTGGTTGTGCGCATTCACGTTTAGGCTAGTGGTGTCCCAAAACAGAACTGAGGTAGTGGAAGGTCTCCAACACTTAAAACCCACCCTAGATTCCAAGGGAGCCTCGGCCCACACTTACATCCAAGTGGAGGATGAAATTTCCCAGAACACCTTGCAAAGTCAGCAACTTCGGCAAGTTTTGGAAAACAATTTGTTACTGTACGATCGGGACGTAGGCTATACAAACAACAGATAGCTGGACTAGCTTAACTCATCAGCAACTCGGTTGAACACAGTGTCAAAATATTTAAACAAAATCAATCAGAACTAGAAGACGTCGTAGGAGCTTCCCGTTTTCAGCATTTCTTCTCTGTTGAGTCATCAGACGGAGAAGAATAAACATAGCACACGCCACAACACAAGCGCTGAAGCTGGCATTTTCAAACCTGAATGACTACCGGTATCTTGCGTCGCTACTTGCTACTACACGTGACGTATGCCTGCATGTCGGCCACGCCGATTTGCATGATGTGGTGTCTCATTTCTTCGGGAAAGATCTCTACCCTAATATTTCTCACTTCCCTCATCAAGGGTTATCTCACAAACGAGGGCACTCAATACCAAGTGGAAGATTAAGGGGTAGAAATGGGATTGGGCCTTAATTCTACTTAACTTAATCCGCTGTCCTCGTTTGTGGACACTTTTTGTGCCATCTAGTGGTAGTAAGAGCACAATACACTAATCCATGTAAAAACAAGATGGCAGCCATCGCTGCCAAGTCAGTCTGCAGCCGATCCCACCAAAAAAATGGACAAAGTCCAAAACCTGATCACATTTTATGGTTGAAACTTGTTTGTTAATGGTAAATCATGTTTGTAGTTTGCTTTGGTAACAAATTTGACCAATTTTAGCAACAGTAACAAGCTAAGACACTGTTGATTACGATGTACTCATTTTAAGACATTGGGACTTAAATATTGTTGACAATGTTTAGTTTTTATATTTATTGGGTCCTACTGATCCCAAATAGCTAGGAGAAATTAAAAATGTAGACCAAACAAATGTTCGGACCTCAGGAGGATGTACAAACCCTATCCCAACCAAGCCCAGATAAATAAATAAACCAGCCTTTCAGCATCACCCCTCTTTGTCTGTATACCACTGAAAAATACTGTCTGTCCATCTTTTTAAAGTGCTCTACAGTTGTGCTTCCCTTTAACTCCTCGTCTGACTAGAGTAGACTATTTACATAATATACTCTTTTCAATTTAACCAAGTCCCCAAATTTCAATACATGTGATTTTAAAAACAGTGTGTCCGTATACTCCCTGTATCCAACATCATGTACAATCCTAATGGCGTTTTTTGTAACGTGTATTGTATATAAATTGCTGTTACCCCAGACCTCCACACATCAATTAAGATGCGGTAAAATGGGTGAGCAGTGGATGGTGTATAGTAATTTATGGTCCAGTATGTGTCTTGATTTTTCCATAACTGCAGTGCTCCTTGCCAGCTTTGATTGAATGTGACTTATTCGATGCTTCCAGCTGATTTCGTGATTCAGTATCACACCCAGAAATTTACTTTCACACACATTTTCTACATCAACTATTAATTCAAACTACAGCACTTTGTCTTGATTGTTCAGGAAACCCTTATCAATGTTTCTGCAAACAAAGTAACAAGTGTACTAAAGATCATTTCAAGTTTGTTTCAGTCCGGTTTTGATAATGTGAAGTGTGAAACCACATTAAAGTCTGAAGACTATCTTGAGTGTCACTTTGTTACTTCACTGATATATTTCTACAAGAAAATGTGTTTCCAAGTCAAATAATTTAGAAACTTTGGACCTTCAAACCTTGTTGTTCCATTACTGTTTTCCCTGCAGTACTCTTATAACTAAAAAGCAAAAATCAACACGCCACAACATAGCCTGCCTTGCAAGTTCTGGGACCACTGATTGGCTGCTTATATTTAAAGAGCAGGAGATATAAAACTTTCTTGTCCCATTTTACCTAAGGCTGCAAATTACCTGACTTCACCCTACTGAGCAGCTGCAGTGAGACACAGACTGTGCAACATGTCTCCCTCTGCTGGCACTTTACCTGTAGCTTTTGGTCAGAGAAAGATAAACCATACTGAAACTCTTGTAATTCATTTCCCTTTCCTCCCTGTTGACCCAAACAGTGGAGTGCAAGAGATTATCATCCAAATATGCGCTTGTTCCCACAATCCACTGATCCACTGATCCAACCCACTGATATTTAAAAAGATACATTTATCATTGTTATACCAGAGTATAGACAGTGCAAAGTCAAATACAAAAAGTAAAACTTCCATGAGCGCTTCCCTGTAGCCATGAATAAAATTCATGTATCACATACAGTCAGGTCCATAATTATTTGGACAATGATACAGTTGTCGTCATTTTGGCTCTGTACACCACCACAATGGGTTTTAAATGAAACAATGAATACCTGCTTAAAGTGCAGACTCTCAGCTTTCATTTAAGGCTTTTTTCAAAAATGTAGTATGAACTGTAGGAATTACAACCATTTCTTCACACAGTCCCCCAACTTTAAGGGCTCATAAGTATTTGGACAAACTAACATAATCATCAGTTAAACAGTCAGTTTTAATACTTGGTTGCAAATCCTTTACAGTCAATGACTGCCTGAAGTGTTGGACACATAGGCATCATCAGATGCTGGGTTTCTTCCCTGGTGATGCTCTGCCAGCCCTTTACTGTAGCCGTCTGCACTTCCTGCTTGTGTTTTGGGTGTTTTGCCCTCAATTTTGGCTTCAGCAAGAGAAACGCATGTTCAGTTGGATTCAGGTCAGATGATATGACTTGACCATTGCAGAACATTCCACTTCTTTGCCTTAAAAATGTCTTTGGTTGCTTTTGCAATATGCTTCAGGTCAATGTCCAACTGCACTGTGAAGCATCGTCCAATGAGTTTTGAAGCATTTGGTTGAATCTGAGAAGATAATGTAGCCCCAAACACTTCAGCTTTCATCCTGCTGCTCTTGTCAGCAGTCACATCATCAATAAATACAAGAGAACCAGTTCCACTGGCAGCCATACATGGCCATGACATAACAGTACCTCCACCATGCTTCACTGATGAGGTGGTGTGCTTTGGATCATGAGCAGTTCCTTCCCTTCTCCCTTCTCTTGTCTTGCCATCATTCTGGTAGTTGATCTTTGTTTTATCTGTCCATAGTATGCTGTTCCACAACTGTACAGGCTTTTTAGATGGTTTTTGACAAACTCTAATCTGGCCTTCCATTTTTAAGGCTAACCAATGGTTTGCATCTTGTGATAAACCCTCTGTATTTATTCTAGTGAAGTATTGTCTTGCTTACAAGAGCAGCAGGATGAAAGCTGTCCAAATAATTATGGACCTGACTGTAGATCATTATGTCGTAGTGATGGTCAAAAGGCCCAACAGCCGACTGCAGCATGGAGCAATTTATTATTGTAGTTCACAGTAAACCCACACGGTGGCGATATTGCCAAATAAATGCAACGTAGCTACAAACCGGAAGTGGTGTAAGTCAGTTTTTTTATTTTATTTATATATATATATTTTTTTAATCTTTATCCTTTTTATAAATTACCGAAATAAAGGGCCATAGCCTACGTTTAAACGTTTTAAGTAGCAACCATAAAGAAAACGCATCGCAATAAAGAAAAATATTTATTTACCAGAAAAAAAATGATGCAACTTAAAATGCTGTCGGAAATTTAGAAGACTATTAAAGACTGGTAAATCTTAGCTGAGTATAAAACACCACAAGTCAGGAGGGAACTATTTTATACAGTCGCAGTAGAGAAGACATCTACGCGACAGCATGAAATAATTTCAACACCTGACCTAAAAAAATAAGTCAATGATTTTGTTTTGATTTTTTTTCTTTTGTTGCGTAAAATAGAAAACAGTAGTTAAATGCTGATTCACATGTTGTGTTTTCTGGTTTTCTGGTATTCACATCAGTGGCGATACATTTTCTTAGCAGCCACGGTAGGTTTTGTTTCATATATTTTTAAAATTCATTATCGATGAATTCCACTAAGTACAATGACAGACGTGTTTCAAAGAGAAAATCAAAATTACGGACCTTGCAATGAATCCCTGAACGCAACGAGTACCGTCCAATATGGCGGCGCAGCGTCGGAATTTAATGCAGAGCGTAAGTGAAAACTCAGTTTTTTATCACTCTCACTAACCTGTTATGTTACTGTTGCACTGCCATTGAAGGTTATGTAGGTCTCGTTTATCCCCACAGGTGGTCGCCTTTGTTTGTTTTGTTCCGCTCAGTGTTGTTCCGTTTCATTCAGTGATGCTAGCTAGCTAATTTAGCTGGGCTGTTTGAAGTTGTTTGCTAACAGTTAGCTAGCTAAGTTATCCAACTTTAATCTCAACGTAATGCGATTTAGTGACTTCTAATGAACAGGGACAGTTGATATTGCTAATAATAGGAGGAGATAATTATGTGTGTGGTACTGACTTTGCATTGCTCTGTTTTTTTTCCTCACACCTAACTTAGCTGAGACCCTGAGTCGGCTAGCTAGTTAGTTTGTAGCAATGGTCACTTCAGTATGTTTGGCTTACAGGGTTCCTGAGAAACGTTGGTGCAGGTGATTGTTTAAGTAGATTATGCTGTCTGTCAGGTCCTTATTAACACCCCTAACGAGTTCGAGTTGTAACCGCATATTAATTTTCACCAGTGTGGGGTGTGTAGTTTCATGAAAACGATGTCGGTCTCTGGTGTAAACATGAAGAAGTTAAGTCGAAATCAGAATTGTCATTTTGTTAATTACTAGTAAGTTCAGAGGGATACATGTTACTGCCGAGGGACACTTGCCAGTCTGAAGCCTACCTGTTATAAACAATAGCATACAGCATGGCAATCCTTTCAGGCATGCCAGGCAAAGGTAAGTTTATTAAACAAGGCTTTCCATGAAATTCACACTTCATGTGTTTTACAATAAAGACAGACAGCAATAAGTGTACAGGAGAATGGTATCAATGCACAGTGAAATGCACCTAAAGTAGTACACATCACAGTGCATGGATACAGGAAAGGAAAGAGCACCTACCCACTAAAGATAGCTCATACCCATGGAAATGTTTTCAGTTTTACAAGATCATTATGTAGGTGAACATGGCTTTGTAGATTTTATTGCCTGAAGATCAATACAGTCTGCAGTATTTCTTTATTCTATGAAAACAGTTACTAACTTCGATTCTCCCATTAATCTGCTCGTCAAACAGTATTTGGCAACACTTTGTAGAATAACTCAGAGGTTTAAAGAGAGATAAGTGGAATTTTCCATAGAAAGAAATTAATTTCTGCCTAATAGTTTTGGCAAAGTATTTCTAAAGACATTAAGTTTCAAATTATTAGTTAACCTGCAACATATAGTCTGTGGCAGAAACATTCATGTACTCTAGTAGAGAAATTATTTCTGCATCAGGATTTGCAATGTCATGTGAACACAATGGATTTCTCTGTGTCATGGTCAGCTAGAACAAGGGGTCATAATGACCTACACTCGTAACCAATTTTGTGTGGAAGCTACAGGCTGCCCGGTAGTCATGATTAGAAAAGACACTGAAGATGTGCCGTACTCCTTAGATAATATGTGCAAACTTGCACTACAAACCTACAACATGAGGTTTCTTAAAGCTTTTAGTGAAGGCTGTGTCTATGTGTGCTCACTGCACTGAAGGCTTCTCTTTTATAGACATATAAAGACAGGACTTTTTTGTAAATTTTTTGCTCATTCCTTTTTTCCCCGTGACAGCATCAGAGCTGGACAGATGACCTGCCGCTGTGTCAGATGTGTGGGGTCGGCACAGCTACCAACTGTGTGTACGGCCCTGATGGTAAAGGAACTCAGAGCCACCCCAACGAGGACGGACACCTCGGGTTCAGGTGAGAAACTCTGGAAACACAAAAGAATGAAGCAGAGACAAAAATGAATAATAACATGCCTGGAGTGATATCTGCTGAGGAGGCAACAACATTGTCTTTCATGCTCAGTATTTGCATCTCAGATGCCACGTTGACTCCATTTTTCCGTGTTCATCATTTTGTCATACAATGAATTAACACCTGTTACATGAAACACTATCAAACTAACTGCTGTTGAACCAGCTGATGGCATTAGGATTTTGTTGGAGCCAACTTTTGAAAGAATTCCCTGAAGCTGGTAGGGATTGCGTGTCTTGCTTGAGGACACTTCAGCAGGGTAGACTCTTGCCAACACAGGGCTTTAGTCTCTAAATTGTATTTAAAGGAACAGTGTGTATATTTAGGGGGTATATTGGCAGAATTGGAATATAACATGTTTACATGTTAATAACAATATGTTTTCTGTAGTGTGTAATCTGTCACCCGAAAATAAAAATTGTTCTGTTAGCTTAGACTGAGCTCTTTATATTTACATAGGGAGCCGATCCTCATTTATGGAGATAGCCATGATTGTACAACTAGACAGTGGCTCTAGATCGGGCCAGTCACGTTTTTTCGCCTCAGCCACTATAGATAGCCCCACAGTCACAGCAAGCACAATCAGAGTTGCGTTTACCTGCTTTAACAGGTTTCCCTTTGGACAGCACGGCATTGTTTTCCCAGTTGTGTAAAGAAATCACTTTTATTCAAACAGTGTTACATATACAGCACATCCTAGTATTTGATGTTTGATGACCGACATGCTGAGTCATGTTGCTGCAAATACAACATGAGGAAGAGTTTATTGAGGCAGCCATGCTTTGCAGTAGTTACCACTCAAACTACAGAAATGTGCCACATTAAATATACATACAGTACGTCTCTGTGCTGTTTGAAAATTCCACAATTCAACATTTAAGCTAACCTAAATATAAGATGTAGAAATTATGTAGTTGTTTTCCATTTCGAATGTTATCTGATTAGTTTTTCTCAAACATGTCACTTTGCCATTATCATTAACATTATCATTAAACTACCCACACCTAACCTTACAATTTACACAAAACACACTCTATATCCTTCGAGTTTTGGATGAAGGACGTTTTGTTTTTTCACATTCTCACTGTCTTCCCTCATTGAAGTAAAGAAGTCACATGTTTGTCTTTGTTTTTCCTTCACCAATCAGAGGCGAGGATGGCTGCTTCCTGTACGGGGTTTTTAACGGTTACGATGGCAGCAGAGTGGCCAGTTTTGCCTCGCAGTGTCTGACGGCTGAACTGCTGCTAGGACAGCTCAACTCCAGTCACACAGACAGCGACATTCGCCGGATCCTCACACAGGTCTGCGACTTTTTATATTACAAGTGTCACATGTTGCTGATTGTAAAGCAAGTCACATGGTGTATTTATTTTCTAGGAAGAGTGAGAAATAAACTTTTATTCTCCAGGGTGCGGAATTGATTAATCTTCTCACACTGACACACTCACTTACGTCAAAGCAAATCTGTGACTTAAATGTAAAGAAGGTAGACCCACCATTAAGATTCAAGACACTATCACTCCAGTATTGATGGAGCAGTCATTGAAAATTTAAAGAAAATGTCAAACAATAAGCTGCATCTATTTTAATAAAGCACAAACAACATAAGGAAGTGACTTGATATAATTTAAAGGGTCATGAAAAAAACAAGCTGAACATCCTGTTTCTGCTGAAGTCTTATAAGTTTAAATTTTCGCACCTCATAAGGAATGTGACATCACACTATACTGCAAAATGCTGCTTGCACTTCTGATACGGTCTGTGTTTGCAGGCCTTATAGCTCCAACAATATGGAGTCACATTCTGCTTCTAATATGTCAAACCACAGGGGAGGTACAAGCTGCCGTGATGGAATGACTAGTAAGGCCACCTACTCTGTTGTTTTCTTAATGTAGCGAAGTATCATTTTAAACATCTTAGTGCAGCTTGTAGCTTCAGTAAGTGCAGTGAAATTGACCGAGGAAGCATAAAAAGATTGTGGATGTAAACATGGGACAGGAGGACCTTATGAATATATGAAATATGGAGAAAGATTTATAGTCATTCTAAAACTTATCACACCAAACTCACAGTCTACTTTATATCTGCGCATTCAAGACCCCTCTGCTTAATGTCAGGGTCATGTATCACCCTGACAATGACCACTGATTATGCCTTAATATAGACAATGAACCTCAACATAAAGTACCCAAGAGGCTGATACCCCATCTCGTTCAGTTGACAGTACAAGTAGTGTGGTATTGTACACCAGAGTCTCTGTGGAACCTTAAAAAGTCTTAGAACATGGTGAACATTTTTTTTAATCTAGGTCTTAAAATGTCTGCAGTTGTAGAAAGAGAGGCATCAAATTTTAACTGGGGCAGAATGAATTAGTCTATTTTTATTTCAGTTTCAATCAGCTGGAAAATGCATCTTCACAAAACCGAAAACAGGACTGTTCCTCTGAGTTCATGAAAAGTTGACTTTTTAGAGATGCATGGTTCTGGGGACAGGGGTGCCACAGACAGATGATGCTCTTACAGAATATGATGCATTGCTGTAGATTAAACTATCTGACAGTATATAAAGGACTTTAAATTAGCATAATCTTACACATCTAAACATGCAATATGCACCATTATTCAGTAATAGTAGAAATAATTTAACTTTACTTTTAGGGAGTCTAATGTAAAATCTGGTCAGATACTACCGATGAAAACACAATGAGTACTTCTTGGCCTGGCTCCAGATTATATTTCAGACCTGTTAGTCCCTTATGAACCTCTGCGTAGTTTGAGATCCTCGGGCAGAGGTTTTCTGCTTGTCCCAGAGTCCAGACGGAGGACCAAAGAGACAGAGCTTTTGCAATCAGGGCCCCGAGACTCCGGAATGACCTACCTGAGGATATAAGGCTGTCTGAGTCACTGGCTTCGTTTAAGTCTCTCCTAAAAACATACTTCTATCGGAAAGCATATCCTGATTTTATCTTAACTGTTTGTCTGTTTTTTTGCTATCTTATTTGATTATTATTTTTAATTTCCAATTATATTGATTTTAGTTTTGGCCTTCCTTATTTTATCTTTACTTGTGTTTTAAATGTGTTAAGTTTATTGTACAGAACTATGTAACTTTGTTTGGTCACACATTACTTGAAGGTTTCTAAATAAGAGTGACATGACACTGTCATAACTCTGACATGATACGGTAATGAACCTGTCATGAACATTATATACATGTCATAAACCTTTATGACTGCTGTCATTAAGTGTCATTCGGTTTTTGTAATGACACGTTGACATAGTTTGGGTTGTCTTGATGATGACAAATTGACAATAATCAAAGTGACATTACCAGAAGATGTCTTTGTCATGACAAGTTGACATTAAATATGTTTGAGATGTCCTTATAATGACAAATTGACATTAACCAGGATGACATTACCAGAAGATGTCTTTATGTTAATGTCAAGTTGTCATTATAAGGACATCCCAAACAAATTTAATGTCAACTTGTCATGACAAAGACAACTTCTGGTAATGTCACTTTGATTAATGTCAAGTTGTCATAATCAAGACAACCCAAACAATGTCAACTTGTCATTACAAAAACCAAATGACTTTAAATGACAGCAGTCATAAAGGTTTATGACATGTACATAATGTTTATGACAAGTTCATGTCACCCTTATGTAGATACCTTCAAGTAAAGTGTTACCCTGTGTTTTGAAAGGTGCCAGATAGATAAAGTGTCTTCTTCTTCTTATTATTATTATTATTATTAATACTACTATTATTATTGTTATTATACTTTGAGCACATTTTGATGATAATACTTAAACACGTTTACATAGGCATGGTTTTGAATTCAGGACTTCTACTTGTAGTAGAGTATTTTTAGGACCTTAATACCTCTTCCAGCACTCCAAAACAGTGATTTTGTTCAAACTGCTTTTTTCCCTTTTCATATCCTCTGCTACAATTGTACAGGCCTGAACACATCATTATAATCTATTAATAATTATTAGGATTATTGTCAAGGCAGTTTTCATACAAGGAATTATGGGGTATTGTTTTCCATTGGACTGGGTCTACTGCCACGCATATTTTATTTGCGTTAATAAATGTGCTCTGAATATTTCAGTCATTCAAAGTCAGTAAATTTCAGTAACAATGTATACTGTGGTGTAGTTTGTCAATTTCTTTTTCCACAGTGAGAGGATTATTTTTTTCTTGTAGAGGTGTTAAAAAACTCTTAAAGATCATAAAATTTGTACTTATTAAATGTGCAGATACCCTTGTACACGCTGTATCTTATTAGTTATGCACGATATTTAGAGCATGTACTTGGCATTGATTTACTGTGCGAACCGACCTGGATATTAACCAGCATCCTGTCGTGTTCTTGTCGTCGCAGGCCTTTGATGTGGTGGAGAAGAGCTACTTTGAGACAATAGATGATGCTCTGGCTGAGAAGGCTCACCTGTCCAACTACCTCCTACCACACAATGAGGTACACACACACATTCACACACATTCACACTCTTTGCAAAGCATATTGACAGATTTGGCTGAAAATTGAGGAGAGGGGTGCTCCGTACGTTTCCATAGCAACCGCAGATTTGGGCATTAGTGTGAGCTAATGCTCAGCCATTGGAAAATGAGCTTGTTATGTTCTAATTGGTCTCATCAGCCTGTTTCATTAGATAAGCAGGTCTCAGTTTTCCTTCTCTGGATCCAGCTCTCCCTGCTCCCCTGCCTCCACTCCTCCCCCTCCCTCCATTTTGTCTCTCGTCATGACATATCTCCTTTTCATTCAGTCTCTGCTGCACATAGTGGAATAGTCAGTTGTGATATTGCTGCTGGTTGTGGGCGTTTTTGTAAGATGATGTTAGTCACTTTCTGTCGCTGTGAGTTGGTTCATTAAGAACATTCAGTCATAATCTCCTTTTCTCGTTTCTCACACTTTGTTTGCTTATCTGTCTCTTTCATGCCCACTGTCTCCGGTGCTCTTACTCATCTCTTATCCTTTTTCACATCACCTCCTACCTGTTTCCTGTATCCCTCCACCACTCCTCCCTCTCCACTTGTTTCCACCTGCCTGTCCTCCTGGCTCATGTCTCTTGCTCAATGGTCTTTTATTACTCAACTCCTTTTTTATCACTTGTCTCATTCTCTCTTTTTCTCCGTCAATCTGCCCACTCAAACTGATATTTTTCCTCTTTTTTATATTCCTGCCTTCCTCCCCTCCTCTTTGCCTACTCCTCCCGCTCAATACATTTTCTTGACTTTTTCACTACTCCCATTTCCTTCAATCTTTCTCTGTCTTCCTTGTCTCCTCTTGGCTGGTCAGAATGTGTCATTCCACCAGCTTTCTCCTCAGAGTCAGAAGGTGCAGGAGCGTCTGAAGGAGCTGGAGCAGGAGGTGTCAGGAGGAGCGACAGCTGTGGTGGCACTGATCCTCAACAACAAGCTCTACATCGCCAGTGTTGGTATGGACACACATGTTTACACAGGCTAGAGTCATTTAACTTTGACAGCTCCATCTCTGGTTCTGTTCAAAATCAGTCATTATCAAAAACTTGAGAGAAATATTATGATGTACTTTTACCTTATTTTTCATCTTTGTTGTAGTGCTGGAAAATATGGTTAATGCCAAAGACCAGCCAATAAATGGCCTCTTAAGAATGAGCTTTACACCAGTAGATGTCAGGCTTGTCTCTCTTTTTTGGATTGGCTGGGTGGTATTCACAGAAAGCAGACAGGGACTTGAAAGTTTATGCATTCATGAAGGCCATTTCCACCACAGGAACTTTCCCGAGGGACCAAGAGCCTTTTGAGGAACTCAGGAACTAAACTTTAATTTCAACCGGAGGCAGCAGGGACAAATTTAGTTCAGGTGGTTCCACATGAAGAAGAAAAAAGTCCCCGCTGTGGGAGTAGTACTTTCCAAAGGTTAGGGAAATTTAGAGGTTGAGCTTGCAGGGCTGACTGTGGGCGATGTCACACTGTGGCGGCCACAGCTCGTGGGTCGTACAAGGGTCAGAACCAGTTGAGAGCATGAGTGGAGTAGAGAAATTAAACTATTTGCTCATTTTTTTCCACTGCAGTTACATTTAACACTTTACATCCACAGATAAAGGTGTTCTGGAGGTTTTAGTCTTTGTTTCTGTCTCTCTATTTCTTCTTTTTATTCATTCATTCATTAAATACAACTCAAACATCAGAGTTACGATACAGTAATATCAAACAGTACAGAATAATCCTGCAGTGAGACAAAGTGTGATGCATATGGCATTTATAAAGTCTCCCATCTCTTTTATCTTTTGCTTCTCCACCAAGAGGACACTAGTTCTATTTTTAGTAGCATGTAAGCTAATACTGGATGCACAGCATTAGCTACGGCAGAGCGAGTTCAGTCTGGGTTTGGGTTGGGCAGGTATTCCTCTTGATTATTTCTCATTCTGTTCTGCATGAGTCGTCCAGTTATGGTTTTTAACCTTATTTGTTAATTTTAGTCCAGTAATACAAACATTTATCTAAATATTTCTGTGGCCATGCGCTCCTACTCACACAGATGCACACACACAGATCTAATCAACCACGAGAAGGGTTGCAACATTATATGGCACAACAATCTAGATTATTTTGATAGTATTTACAAAATAAATGGTGATTTGTCATGGCTTTAAAAAGGTCTGCCATAGATGAGATGAAATGCTCCGCCAGCAAGCATGTGCTTTACATACTATGCCAAAAGAGGTTTATTTCTACAGAGGACAAGAAGTTGATGCCACACATTCTGTTTTCTGTGGCTGTCAAACAGATGTTGGAATCATACTGACTGAATCTGTATTCAAAACATAACCACAGTGCCGGCCATTGATTTTGAATCCCAAATTAGGCTCCTGTAGGCAACAGCTGCAGAGGGAGTCACATTAAAGCTTGGTCTGTGTGTGTGTGTGTGTGTGTGTGTGTGTAAATGTATGTGTGTGTGTGTGTGTGTGTGTGTGTGGGGATTCTCACCAAACATCTTGAGCTACAGAAAAGAAGCATTTGTCATTAACTAGTCCATACCCATTGAGTGCACAGTTGCCCATGTGCAGTTTCGCATGGTGTGTGTTTGCGATACAGGTCATAGGAAATTACAGATTGCAGAGTTTTTGTGAATTTGATAGTATGATTGCTTTATTGAAAGTTCAGTAGTACCATTGCCAATAGTGGGATAGTTAGTGAGCTAAAACTGTACATTAATAGTTGAGGTGGCACGCTGAAAGGCAGATAGTTAAAGTCATTGCCTTATTGAAGCTCAGTTTTAGTAAGTTTTCCAACTTTTGCCAAGAGGGAACTTTAGATATTGGTCCCTAGATTATGCAGATCGCTCAAACTTCCTAGGAAGAGATCGATCTGAAGTGTTTTTAAAAAAATTCAAAATGGCGGAAAATCTATATAACCGGAAGTTATGGGTTCTTGAGGCAAATTTGTTCCTCATGAGGAGAGGCATCTCTGTGCAAAGTTCCATGTCTCTACGACATACGGGGCATGAGATATGCCCATTCAAAGTTTGCAAATTCAGTCGGTTGCTATAGCGCCCCCCTTTGGCCAATCGATGTAATATTGCTTCATTCGCATCCTCCCATGACCCTCTACCACTGTGCCAAATTTCACATGGATTGACCAAGTCATTGAGGAGAAAAGAACAGACACACAGACAGAGTTTTCGTCATTATATAGTAAGATATAGTAAGATATGTTTCTACAGCAGTCATTTTAGATCCATTACTGTAAACTACTACTGAAATTCTGGAGAGTGTGAGAAACACCCCCACTCACACACACATACACACACCAACCCTGAGGAGCGTTATCCCTTAGAAGTATTCCTCTTCAAGAATCATCAAAGTTAAAGTGCCAGACTCCAGCTGCTGTCTGTGTGGTTTGTTTCATGTATCTGGGCACATTAATCAAGGGTATGAATATTAGTTTAAGTTCGCACTAATTGAAAGTAAGTCTGGTTAGTGTAAATCCTTTAAATGCAGTGTTTTAGATGTTTCTGTCTTTTTGCTAACATCCTCGATTCTGTAGCAGCCAAAGGAAAAGAGCCCCTCACTCTCTCTCTTTCTCTCTGTCTGGGATTTCATTTTCTTTTGTCCGCAAGGACATGGCACAGAGCAGAACATGGGGTGGGGTGGCGGGGGTGTACTAATTAGTAGCGAGTAGAAAGGAGGACTGTCTCCCCACTGGCCTGTTGTGTGAGGGTCAAGAGTTCAGAGTTGACACAACATGAATCCCAGCGAGGTTTAAACATAAGAGTAAGTGTTCTCTAAAAAGCTCTTCCAGCTGTGTGCTGATGTGAAATATATTTGACAGTTAAGGTCGTATGACCCATAATTTGATATGCTGGGAGTGGGAGTGTGTGGGTGGCAGACAAGGGTGTATGGAGGTACAACAGGCATGGCTGGCTGTGTGTTGCACATATGTAATGCAGCTTTGCACATATGAACATGAGGATTATCACCAAGCCTACGAAGAGGGTATATAGAGTATTTTGTGACCAATCGGATCTGTTTGGAACACCACAAATGCGGTGCACCATGTCGGCACTGGCTCATTAACACATGGGGTGACAGGGGCTGAAGCCCAGGGCCCCACAGAGAGGACAGAGAGAGGCACATGGGGCCCCTGTCTGCACTTTCAGTATAATGTGGCTAATTGGTTGGCCTTGTCTGCAGATTAGACGAGCAGCACACACTACTCTGGGCATTTACTGAACTTTTTTTGGGTGGAAGTGGGGGTGGTCTTCATCAGGCTCCTGCTCAGTGTTCAGAAACTTTCATATAAAAGTGAGTTAATCACTGATGTATCTCCGGTCAGCTTTTGTCAGCAACTGGCTTCATCATTCAGTGATTGATATTGAGCTTGTAAAAGTAGCGCAATATCTGTGCTGATTCACTGGCGGAGGTTTGGGCCTGTGAGTCACAGCAGAGCAACATCACTGCATCTTTTTCCCTGCAAGATTATTGTGTGGAGAAACTACAAGGTGAAATGTCTCATCCTCATGAGAGAAATGGCAATAGAGTTGAAAGAGATCCTCTCTGAGAGTGTCAACAAAAACTGGTAACTCATTCAGATTTAAAACACTTCATTCCAGCTTAGTATTTTCTCTTTGTGCTGGCTGCTGTCTTACCTTGCAGCTCTAGTGAATGAATTGGATTATTTTTGTCTTGAATCTATTTAACCTTGTGTCGATGTTGACTTACCTTTAAAGACAAAAAGATTATTTTAAACCATGGACTTATTTTACCAGTCCCCATTCTCGTCTTGTTAATCCTTACGTGTTTGTCCTGGATTCCAGGTACCAACCGGGCACTGCTGTGCAAGTCCAGCAGCGACGGCCAGAACCAGGTCCTACAGATTGGCCGACCACACAGCACTGACAATGAAGACGAGCTGCAGAGGCTGGCTGCACTGGGTGAGACACACAGACAGACAGTCAGACTGACCAGAGTCATTTTGGTGCACTTATTCAGTTGAGATATATTTTCCGTAATAGTTTAGTAATTTATTTTTTTGCTTAGCTTCAGATCTTTCTGCACTATTAACCATTCGTTTGGTTTTATTTTTTCTGGTTTAATGCAGCTTCATTTAATTAGAACACAGATTTCACTTAAGTTTTATTAAGCGTTCAGTTTGGGGAATAAATATGTAATACTTAGCTATCCTGGGCATTTTTCATTTTGAGCTAACCATGCACCAACACACACCAAGATGAATATTCAACATTATCTGGTCAGTGACATCCCATTTCACCAATATGATTAGCATTGCTGCCTCCTTCCTCTCATACTCTGCTCACTTTGCTGCTGTTTTTTTCCAGGGACAAGACAGGAAGTAGTCCTGACAAAGACAGACAATTTGTCAGAATTAACAGTTTAGTTTGGAGGAAAAGCTTTTTGGATTTTGTTTTGCCTTTAGTCCTGAGGTCTGATGAATACTCAGACATGTATCTTGGTAGAAATCAGATTTGCACGTTAGCATAGCAGACATACCTTACATTACATAACATTCCTTGCATTCCATGCAGGACATACAGGCTGACAGTGAGTCAGCTATTAGTGTAAACTAGCTGCCACAGAGACACATAGAGATGTCTATCTATGGTGGGCAGCTGAGCTAATGGTCCAGTAATGTAGGTTGTGTATGTAGCAGGAAATACATACACTGTGATTAGCTTTGTGGAGGAAGCATTAGGTGCAGCCTGGCACCCGTAATGAATATAATGGAGAATTAGCTGCATTGTTTCCTGGTGCTTCACACCACATCATTAGAAGAGGAGGCAGAGCTCTCTGTCTCCCTTTGTTCTCCCGCTCCTCCCGTCTCCAGTTGAGAGTCACGTGATTATTCTGTTGTTCAGGCCCTTCTCCGAATGATTTAAATGAAATGGCAGTCATTCCATTAACCCAGCTGAAGGTGACCTCTCCCCTCATATTTTCATCCACCCCCAAACACACACACCCCTCCTCTCCTCCCACCCAATTTCCTGCTTCTACTTATTGCCCTTGTGTTATTGCTTTAAACTCTCCTTCCTCACACTAAATCTTTTGCTCCTCTCCCCCATACCCTCTGTCAGTCATCATATCCTCAAACTCATCTCCTCTGTCCTCATTTTCCGACTCCCCCTGTTTTTAATGTGTCTCCTGTCCTCTTCCTTTTTAATACAGGTGTAGATTCGGCCCGTGTAAGGCAGGCAGGGCAGATTGCTGGTCAGAGCAGCACCAGGAGGCTCGGAGACTACCGGGTTAAGTTCAACTACAATGAAATCGACCTGCTCAGGTGAAATCAGAATACTCAGACTACATCATAAGCACATACTGTACATGCCTGGGGAGGCCAAGCTGCCACACTCTTCTTTAATGTCTTTTTTTGCTTGTTCTGTCACATTTATGGTATGGTCTTTTTTATTTTATATATAGAATTCAGAGTCTTCTCAAAGTTATTTTATTCAGACAGCCAAGTTTCTAGAAATCTAAAAACAAGATGTTGTTTTATGGTGGGTTATGTGCTGGAACAACTTCTTGGCCTTGCACAGTGAATCCAGGAAGTCACTGAATGTGTTTTGGCCTTCTGGATTTCTGTTCATGTACAGATCAAACAAACAGGATATAAAGTCTTAGTAAGTAAAATGTAGAAATGTCTGTAGGCAAATTTCTTCAACTTTGGATCAAGTCAGGCCAGATGCTTTCCCCCTGTTTCCAGTCCAGTTTTAAAGGAACAGTGTGTAAGATTTAAGGAGGTTTAGTGGCTGCTAGCGGTGAGGTCTGCAGCTTGCAACCGGCTAAAACTTCTCCTATTAGAATTCCCTCAGGGTTCATTTTTCAAGATCCAGATTATCCGCAGAGGCCTCTTCCTCTCCAAAACAAATGGACTAGGAGCGTCATTTATAAACATTGTGTACGCACAAAACAAGGCCTGAAAGAGACATACGCCACTTCCCACGCAAAAGTTGTGATCTATAAAACCAGACGCGATAGGAGAAACTTTGACCCACGCTTCCGAACATTTTGGAGACGGGAAATTGGCGACCCAGATGGTAGGGTGGAAGTCTGATTGTAGAAATTGTTAAGTATTTTTTGGCACATGCCATTTTTGGCTTTTGTCCGTACGAACATTTTTAGTATGGATCCTGCAAACTGTTTTATAAATGAGACCCCAGATGATTAAAAACAGTAAAAACAATAAATAAAGCAGTTTCATGTCACTAAACAGCATGTCCATTGCTTGCTATGTGTGCTCACCTATTTTCTCTAATTACTTAATGTGTGCTTGCCTTGTTTCTTACGCCAGATGTTCAGGAGGGTTTTTACCATGAGCCAAATTATCTGCAAAGGTCTCTTCCCCTCCAAAATAAATGAAACAGGTGATTAAATTCACTAAAACACAGATTAAAGCAGTTTGATGTTGCAAATCGGTGTTTCTCCGGCGCTGTTTGGCATGTCGGAGACGGCCGTTAGCCCAGCACCTACTAATGTGTGCTCATCTTTTTTTCTCTTATAACTTAAGATCCAGACATTCAGGAGGTTTTTACCAGCAGCAGGATTATCCGCAGAGGTCTCTTCCTCTACGAAACAAACAGACTAGATGATTTAAACTGGTATAAAGCAGCGCTTTATCAATGCTCATGTCACAGAGGGGTCGCTAACTACTGTAGCCAAAGCAAAATTGCGAAGACTCGAATGGCTCTATCTAGAGCCAGTGTTTTGTTTGTCCATTATGGGCTACTGTAGAAACATGGGAGACTCCATGGATGAGGACCCGCTCCCTAAGTAGCTATAAATGGCTCATTCTAAGGTAACAAAAACACTACAGTTCCTATTTTTCTTATTATATTAAATTACATTTCTGCCAGTAGAAAAAATAAATCCTACACACTGGACCTTTAAGTCATGCTAAGCTATTTGCTTGACTAGCTGTTAGCTTCATATTTTGCTTATAGGCAGGAGATTGGTGCTGATCTTCTTAGTCTCCTCTCAACAAGAGAGTGAATAAGGATACTTTCCAAAACTTCTCCTTTATTACTGTGTTTCAACCGAAACTAGGGCAGCTAAATAAACACACTTAACGTACAATCAGTTCTGCAGGTTGTGTGTGTGTGTGTGTGTCTGTGTGTGTACTCAACAGTACCTGGACAGTGGAGGCTCTGTCTCCATATTATGGTCTTTGTTATCAGATCTGACTCTCCTCCAGCCTCTCTGAGCCTCTTGAAATTCCACGATCCGGGGGCCCCTCTCTCACACTTCTCATTTCCTGTTCCTGTCTGCTGTCCAGGCCAAGCGAATCAGGCTCAGATATCTACGAGTCATTCCAATTATGGTCCTCAATAAAACACACAATAGAATCTTCATAGAATTTCCTCCTTAGTGCCATCAAAGAGAGTGCAGGAAATTTGATGTGGACAAAGTATAAGCGATTTTTTCGGATTTATGAGATTAGCCAGGTTTATTGTATTTAGGTCAGGTGCACTTAGGTATGTCTCTATTTTCGTCTCAGTTCCTTCCTCCTCTTCTCTCCCTCCACTTCTCTCTTACTTAGTCTCTGTCTCTGTCTCTGCTTGCTTTCTTCTTCATCACTTCTTTAAATTAATTTATCTACCCCTGTATCTATCTTCTCCTGTCCTCCTACTACATCAGTGCGGCCAAGACAAGGCCAATCATCGCAGAGCCAGAGATTCATGGCAGCCACTCTTTGGACAACGTGACAGGCTTCTTGTTGCTGATGTCAGAAGGTCTTATCAATGCCCTTGAGTCCGCCCACGGCCCTGAACAAGCCAATCAGGTTAGACGATTCATTTTAAAGACTTCTTCCCACCTCAGCCACTTTCTCTCCACTTGTTTTTCTGGTGTTTTATTTTTTCAGTCTCTCTGCTTAAGTTTAATGTCTTTCTTTATTCCAAATCTGCTTTCTTTACCTTATCCTGTTCCTTCCCTCATATGCCTTCTATCACCTCCTTCCACTCAAATCTACTATTTTCTCCTTTTCATTTGATGTCATCCTTCTGTTACTATTCCTTGTCCCTTCCTGACTCTTCACTCATCACTTAACGTCCATTGTTGTTTTCTGTCTCTCACTTACTGTATTGCCTCTTTTTTTCATCCTCCTAATCTTCTTTAGCTCTTCAACTTTATCATTAATCTTTCTTTCTCTGACTCCCTGTCTCCTCTGCTGTCCACCGCAGGAAATTGTTGCCATGGTAGCAGCAGAGCTGGCCCAGCAGACCAGTCTGGAGGCAGTGGCTCAGTCGGTGGTGGAGCGCGTCAAACGGCTGCACCACGACGTCTATGTGTCCGGCCGTCAGAGGGCAACTTACTGTTCTCGGCACGAGGACATGACCCTGCTTATACGCACGCTCAACTATCCGCTGGCTGATGGAGTGCTCACACCCACACAGGGTAGGAAAGGGCATTCTGGGATTGGTTCATGTTTTATTGAAACTGCCTAGGGAGCAGACCTCTATACTCGCTACACCAACGCAACTGTTCATCATTAAAAACTTCAGAATTTTGAAGCATTTTGAATATATATTATTCAGGTTCCTACAGAACATTAAACAATCATATCAGTTCTTCCCAACTTTTTCTCTTTGAAACAATGTGAACTCACAACCCCTCATCTAAGGTTACAGTTTTTTGAGCTGGTCGTACTTTCAGATAAAAATATTCAAATTCAAATCAGGCCTGAAGAGGTAAAACTATTCAGTATTTCACAAAGAAGTCGTAGAGCTAAATGTCCAAACAAACATCATTTTTTCCCAACTTGTTGATGATATTGCGACTCTTTTGACACCTTTGGACGGTCCCAACTCCTCAGTGGTAACCACTGCTTGACAGATTTTACAATTACATTACGGTTTTCAAACCCATTTGATACTATGCTAAACACCAGACCAGACCAGTGTAGCAAATTTTACTGGTTGTCTCAACTCAGCAGCTCCTCCTGAGTTGAACATAGTGACACAGTGTTCCAACAGAAAACTAGCATGTATCGCACAGTAGGGGTGGGCGATGTGGCCCTAAAATAATACCATGGTATTTCAGGGCATTTTTGCAATTAAGATATTCTTGACAATATGACAAATTGGTTTACAAAAAAGGCACCCTGGGATCTATATCTATAAATAAACAGGCCATTTCTTTCCCTTTTAGCAAAGTTTTCTTGAGGGACTAACTCTACCATGTCTCCTTTCATCCCCCCCAAAAACACATGAACCTTCAAGTAAACAAATATAGCGTGTGCCGCTCTTACCCCCTCCCACCTCTTTTGAAAGGTGATCTAAATAAATGCCAACACTCCAAGAGAAGTCTGACCCATCTGAAGTGAACAGAAGGTGGTCTAAGTTTGGTTCACTTCAGGTCCACTGTGCAGTTCACTTAACCTGTGCAGTGTGAACACAAAGCACTCCAGGTTCGCTTTGCTCTTTGCCTTTGTATTTAGCCCTCTAGATCACATGCTATTGACCTGGGACGCCTGAAAAACCAGATAAAACCACACTGGCATAGGACGCAGGACGAGGAGTAGTTTGGTCTACGGAAGATACTGCGCGTCTCCTGATGTGGAATGTAGAATATGTCAAACGGCAACGGTCTACAGCACAGAAACACTTCGGTTGTCCTCCAATTTTAAGTTCATCTGAAAGTGAGGGTCTTTGTAACTGCACCTGCATCAAAGTAAAAACAAAACTATGTCAACATATATCATATATAGACTATAGTGTGAACAGAAAGAGGACTGAGGCTTCATCAGAGCTGAACTCGACCAGAAAGAGAACTGAGTCCTCTTTCAAATGAACTGACAGTGTGAGCACCAAAAGAACTGAGTCCCTTTTCTGTGGGTCCACTTTTTGGTGCACTTTAAGAGGACTGACTTTGGTTTGTTTAAAGAGGATTATATGTGAAAACACTCCGACACACGATCTGTCAGACACTAGTGGCTCTGTTGGTCAGTTTATAAACATATTATATTAGTCATGTTGTCATATTGCTTGTTACTAATGCTGTATGAGTTGGAATAGCTCCGTCGTATGATATCACAGATTTTTTTTTTTTTATATATATATTATGTATATTATATATATATTTATATTATATATTATATATAATTATATATACTTTATTAATCCCCGAGGGGAAATTCAATTTTTCACTCTGTTTGTCAATTACACACAGGTCCGAACACACACATGCACTAAGTGGAGAGATGTCAGAGTGGGCTGCCCATGACAGGCGCTCTGAGCGGTTGGGGGGTTCAGGGGCATCTCGGCAGTGCCCAGGAGGTGAACTGGCACCTCTCCAGCTACCAGTCCACGCTCCATATTTTGGTCCGGACGGGGACTTTGTCAATTACACACAGGTCCGAACACACACATGCACTAAGTGGAGAGATGTCAGAGTGGGCTGCCCATGACAGGCGCTCTGAGCGGTTGGGGGGTTCAGGGGCATCTCGGCAGTGCCCAGGAGGTGAACTGGCACCTCTCCAGCTACCAGTCCACGCTCCATATTTTGGTCCGGACGGGGACTTGAACAGGCGACCCTCCGGTTCCCAACCCAAGTCCCTATGGACTGAGCTACTGCCACTGCTTGAACGTGTAATAATAACAAATGCCGGTTCAGCCAGTTTGAATAACATCAAACCGGTTGAAGCTCTCACACCTGACTGGACCAGCAAAACCGGATATCAACTCAACTCTATGCTGACTTTGAATAATATAAACTTCTAGGGTTGGTTGCTTTAATAAAGAAGAAGAAAAATCTAGTCCTGTACCAGGGGAATGCGACACTTCAAAGGAGATCTTAAAATAGTATTAGGTTTATCCTCGTCTGAGCAGCCAGCCCTGAGAAAGAGAAATAAAAGATTTTGAGAGGTCTAGCTAAGAATATCATACAGAGCCAAAAAAAAAGTTTGGGCAGAAACAATCCAATTTATTCCAGGTTCCCAAGACGCCCATTATGCTGAGACTACACACTAGTGTTTTTCTTGATAATAGTACTTGTGAAAAGTATATTAAAAAAACATTATTGAGCCTTCAATCTTTTGTTTCATTGATCTTTCCAAATAGGTCTGACATCAACAGGGCCACAGAATTTAAAGTGATTTTTAAACCTTTTATGTGAATGTCCTTCTGTCAGGTGGACGTATCTACCCCGTGTCAGTGCCCTACTCCAACAGCCAGAGCACCAGTAAAACCAGTGTCACCCTCTCACTGGTCATGCCCTCACAAAGTACCCTCACCAATGGAACCAACACTGCCTCCACCCTGGAGGAAGGCACCCCCACACCAGGGTAAGCTTGGTTTGTGTGTTGTCCCTGCTTGCTCTGGGTAAGCTTGGTTTTCACCCCAGCTTGTCTCCTACTCCAATATTTGGTCTGAATAAGCTCGTTTTTTTGCTTTTTATCTCACTGCTGTTGTGTTTTTATTTGATAAACTTGATTTTCCATTTGTCGCATTGCTGTCGGTGAGCTTTATCCTGACTCCTCTATCCCCTCCCGACTGTTAGGTTTATTTTGGCTGTGTTTTAGATACCTCCCTCATCCCTCCCTTGCTATATTTATTTTAGGTAAGCTTGATTTTCACTCCCCTGTGTCCCTTCACTGCCATGCTTATTTATGTGTAAGCATGGTTTTCACTTCCCCGTTGTTCCACCGTTGTGAGCTCTGTGTATCATGCCAGGGTCCTTTTCACAGTCTAGAAACAGAAGACTGATCAAGTACAGCTGTAAAAGTATTTTAATATTGAACTTTCACACGAGCATAAACACACGCTACAGTACAGTACACACCACACTGTAATGTGAGCATATGAGTGTAATCAAATCAGTATTGCTCTTGGGAGCCATTTCCACTGTGATTTTAGACAGTGCTGTACAGAAACAAATTACTGGAACACGTTACTGCTTTTCCAAGAAATTAATAGTTTTACAGATTGCTGCTTAAATTGTGTTAATGGCCTCCAGTCCTGCTTGTGCTGCCAACTGCTGCTAAACACATCCTTTTTCCTCAGTCTGTAATACAGGTATGTGGCATGACAGTGTAGTACCAAGCTACATCACAGCTGGCTGTGCTCACAAGTATAACAGAACACACTGTCATGACTTAGCAGGGACTCTGACTGAAAACAGCACCTTGTGTTAAATCAGTGCAGAGGAGAGTGATGTTTAAAGGTATACCATGCAAGAATTGTGGGTCACTGTAAACACAACGTTCAGACTTGATTCCTCCTTCCTTTGCTGCTTGTGCAAGTTACCACTCAAGGAACATTACATTTGTTACAATAGAGACACCACGGGGCGCTGATTCGCTCTGTCCTATCAAATAAAGGCCAAAAAGCCCCAAAACTCTAAAAATACCAATACTTCAGCAAGCTAACTAAGGTCCCATTTATACGACAACGATCTCAACTGAAAACAGTAAACTTTAGTTGTGTTTTGAAAACAGGTTCCAGAGTGCACTTTTTTGGACAGCACCGTCTCTGTTGTCATGTAAACTTGTAATATGCAGTTCCTCTGAAAACAGAGACTTTTCATACATGCGCATTACGCTTCCAGTCACTAGGCATGTGCGAGAAAGTTGACCATCACAACAACAATGACGGACTCCCGAGCTCTGTTTGTGCTGCTCAGCCTGTTGAATTTATTAACGCTTCTCCAGCAAAGTGTAGATTTACTGTAGCAACTCCACCTCATCGTCTGTCCAGACAAATGTTCGTGCGGTTGCCATTTTGTTTGTTTATACATCACTGCTCTGTAGAAGGAAGCGCATGTGCGCAGGTGCGTGTTGTTTCATTGCGAAGTCACACCACCAGCTACTGGCCTGGCGGGTATACTGCAGCGTTTTTGGTCATTTTTGCGGATCTGTGTGCACAGCAATTGTTATCAAAACGTTGTCGTCTGAACGCAGAATTTTTTTCAAAACGACAGTGAGAAATGATTCCGTTTTCAGCGGATCATTTTCGTGTAAACATGGCCTAAGCTAACCACCAGCACCTACTCGTCGTACAGAAAACAGGCCAACTCTGTGTCGCTCCTCATCAGCGAAAGTGTAAGGCAAAGCCAATCCCAGATTCACTTTAGTGTTGTATTAAGCTTTTTCTGCTTGGCATTTTGCCATGCTTATTTTTACGTTTTTGTTTGTTTTGTTTTGTTTTTTTGCACTGTGTCTGCATGATTTTCATAGTGTCCACTTGGGTGCATGCTGCTACTCTCTGCTTGCTGTCTGTTTATAAAGTCTTTCCCTCACCTGCAAGCTGTTACTGGCTGGGAGCTTCACTTGTGAAGTTTGAGTCACAAGGTGGATAATGAGCAGTCGATCCAATTATCCCTGAGCAGATCATTGATGGATGAGAGGAGCAGCTGCTGCAGAGGCCAGTGAATGCAAACTTTTAGACCCAGGGCAATGAACAATTAAGTTTCTCTTTCACTGCATCTGGGGTTGTGCTGCTCCTTCTGTGCTCAGAGAGTGCAGTGCAGTTAGTATCGGAACAGTGTATATATTCCAGTAGAGCTCCTATTGAAGGGTCCAGCCCCAAAAAATATAAAATCATGGGCCACCACAAAGAAATGTGAAAAAAATTAAATATGATCCAGGAAGTCCAGTTGGCATATCAGCTTAATAAGTTTAAAGGCTTGTCAGATGCTGACAGTTTGTAATACTCACAGGATTTTACAGCACTGGAAGGTTAACACACTAAGATTGAGCACTTAACATGTGGTATGTGATGTTCTTCTGCCAAGTTAATTATATGTTTAATTTGTAACAAAGCATGAATCACTGACAGCTTCAATTAGCATGCGTTAGTGTGCCTGGAGGTAGGGAGGGTACCTGCTTGTAATGTAGTATGAATAAACATGAGTAGCACTCATGTGGCTGCTGCTCTGGGTTTGCTGCATGTGCTTCACTTCCCGCGTCCTTTTTCGCCCTTTGCTCGCTTGTCCACAAGGATTGCTTCCCTGTCTCCTCTTCCTTAACGACTTTGACTCTGTCACTCACCGTCTGACTCACATCTGTGTTTCTCTTCCACATGGGCCCCGACTTGCCAATATCCATCCTACGTCCTACACTCTGTCCTTGCCTCTCCTTTTTCCGCCTCTTTAGCACGTTTCACCCCGCCACCTGCCAGACTTTCGTCGACATCCTGCAGCCCATAATTGAACTCCCTTTTTCCCCTCTTTTCCCCCTCTCTCCTCTTCCTCCTCTCCCCCTCTCCACCTCCCTCTTCTCTCTTTCAACCACTCCTCCACCCCCCCGCCCTCTCCCTCTCTCCACCTCTCTCCTTTGCCTCTCCACCCGCGACATGGACCCCTTTCTCTTTTCTGACGCCCCCACATCTTTCCCCTCTATTCCCACCCTCATACCCGTCTCCTCCTCTTCCTCCACCCTCCCCAACCAACCACCTTTCTCCTCCTCCCTCTTCTACTCCTCCACTCTCCCCAGCAGTCAGAGCCCCACGGCCACCCTCCAGTCCACCAACACCCAGACGCAGAGCTCCAGCTCCAGCTCGGGAGATGGCAGCCTGTTCCGCCAGCGAGGCAGCCAGGCGGCTCAGCCTGACGAGACGGGCAGGGTACCGCCGTACGTGGACTTCAGTCAGTTTTACCGCCTGTGGGGAAGTGACCACAGCGACAGCCAGAGCACCCAAGGAGGACTGGGACCCCAGTGAGGGGACGATGAGGGTGCTCGGTGCCAGTTGGAAAGGGACATACTCGGCTTTCTGACAGCAGGGAGGCTCATGGATTGCAAAGGGACACAGATTTTAAGAGGTAGTTTGGTTGACCAATGAAATGCTTTTAATGTATCATAACTGAAACTAAGTGACCTAAAGGTGCATGGGGACGCATGGACGAAGGACTGGGGTCACCAGGTCTTACTGTCAAACATCGGGTGAAACCAGTGGGCAAAGAAAAACCCTGAGACAGTGAGACACTGGTGTCACTACACGCCACAAAATGATGTTTGTGCTTCTGTTTCAGATGCTGGGCATGAGTGCGAATATATGTAATCCAGACTGTAGCCATTATTGTCAGATGTAAAAACATGTATCTGCAAACAGGGATCTCATCGACTTGAGAGTTCATGGAGGTGATAATTATGACTAAGGCCCTAAAATGAATGGATACGTTTGAAAGTACTTTTAATTTGTAATGAAAGTATATCTCCAAATGACTGAGTGGGCTCTCTGGGCTTCTCTTCATATTAACACTTGACCATCTCCTTCTCCAAACAAGACCAGGGACCAGATGCATAAAACTGTGTGCAGACTCACAACTAAAACTGTGTACAAACAAATACAGAAGTACGCATACGTATTATTTTCGTTAAAGTTATAAGCCACACGTACATCTGATTCTGTTTTATAAATCTCTGTCATTGTGCAGCTGGGCTCACATGCACAAGCCTCATCTCCACTCTCACAGTTCACCGAAAAATGGATGTGAAAACGCCCTTAAACATCAATTTGTATATCAATGCTTGGGCTCACTCTTCCACCATTTAGACAGAGAGAAGCACAGCAAAGAAGAAATGCAATTTTACTGATCGTTTGCATCGGCAAGGTTCCCCAATGGTGCCAGAGCAGCTCTCCTGATGCATCGCTGTGGATATTTGTAGTGTCCAAACCAATAATTCATCACGTTTTTGCAAACCTTTATCGCTGTTAAATCTCAATCATTATGATTGTTAAACGTCAGAAGGATGGTCAGTGATGCATTCATGGAGCCTGCAAAAATAATACGATCAGGATAAAAACAACCTGAAAGTAATGTTTTATTATAATGTTACATCTCTCACCTTATTTGTAATGTATACCCACATATCAGCAGCAGCTATCTGAGCTAAAACCACATGTCCGCCTGGTCTGAAGAATGCATGAGGTGCACACGTTCTCACCGCATACTTCTTTTTTTATGTGTAGCAAAAGGCATATGCATGGTTTTTGTGCGTATGCATCGCTTATACACTGCCCGGCCAAAAAAAAAGTCACCACCAAAAAAAAACGGTCATACACTCTAATATTTTGTTGGACCGCCTTTAGCTTTGATTACGGCACGCATTCGCTGTGGCATTGTTTCGATAAGCTTCTGCAATGTCACAAGATTTATTTCCATCCAGTGTTGCATTAATTTTTCACCAAGATCTTGCATTGGTGATGGTAGAGTCTGACCGCTGCGCAAAGCCTTCTCCAGCACATCCCAAAGATTCTCAATGGGGTTAAGGTCTGGACTCTGTGGTGGCCAATCCATGTGTGAAAATGATGTCTCGTGCTCCCTGAACCAGTCTTTCACAATTTGAGCCCGATGAATCCTGGCATTGTCATCTTGGAATATGCCCGTGCCATCAGGGAAGAAAAAATCCATTGATGGAATAACCTGGTCATTCAGTATATTCAGGTAGTCAGCTGACCTCATTCTTTGAGCACATACTGTTGCTGAACCTGGACCTGACCAACTGCAGCAACCCCAGATCATAACACTGCCCCCACAGGCTTGTACAGTAGGCACTAGGCATGATGGGTGCATCACTTCATCTGCCTCTCTTCTTACCCTGATGCGCCCATCACTCTGGAACAGGGTAAATCTGGACTCATCAGACCACATGACCTTCTTTCATTGCTCCAGAGTCCAATCTTTATGCTCCCTAGCAAATTGAAGCCTTTTTTTCCGGTTAGCCTCACTGATTAGTGGTTTTCTTAAGGCTACACAGCTGTTCAGTCCCAATCCCTTGAGTTCCCTTCGCATTGTGCGTGTGGAAATGCTCTTACTTTCACTATTAAACATAGCCCTGAGTTCTACTGTTGTTTTTCTTCGATTTGATCTCACCAAACGTTTAAGTGATCGCCGATCACGATCATTGAGGATTTTTTTCCGGCCACATTTCTTCCTCGAAGACGATGGGTCCCTACTATCCTTCCAGTTTTTAATAATGCGTTGGACAGTTCTTAACCCAATTTTAGTAGTTTCTGCAATCTCCTTAGATGTTTTCTCTGCTTGATGCATGCCAATGATTTGACCCTTCTCAAACAGACTAACATCTTTTCCACGACCACGGGATGTGTCTTTCGACATGGTTGTTTAGGAAATGAGAAGCAACTCATTGCACCAGTTGGGGTTAAATAACTTGTTGCCAGCTGAAAGATAATCGCCCATGCAGTAATTATCCAATAGGACGCTCGTACCTATTTGCTTGGTTAAATCCAGGTGGCGACTTTTTTTTTGGCCAGGCAGTGTACATCTGGCCCCTCGAGGCTCTCATTTGGTCGGTATGACAACACCTGTGGTGACATGTAGTCACACAGGATGTCTTAAAATAATACACACCCCAGCGTTTAATTCTAAATGACTATTTGTGTCTGTGGACAGGCAGACAGCTACACTTCGAAACAAATGAGAATGTTTAAAAGTGGAAGCACATTAGAGATTTTTATAGAAGATAACTAAGCAATAGGAGTTTTTTGGATGGAAAATAAGCAAATGTTTCTTACTTACCAGTACCGGTACGGTGTGTTAGTCAGGAGCAGCAACAAGCCACCATCTCGCCTACTTCAACATGCATAATTTCCTGTGCAGGCGTGGGTTATTTTCAAAAGCTGGAAACCAAAACTAGTATATAGAGAAGCACTTACAGAATGCGAATGCACTAAATGTCCACAGCAATAAAAATAACAGCATCAAATATGGTATTTTTAATAAAAATCTAAAAGAGTGGGGAGACCCTAGAAATTAAGAGTTTGTGGTCATTGGGACCTTGTGCAAAAAGTGACTCTTCCAAGCATGAAGGCAAGAAGATAACTAAGCAATAGGAGTTTTTTGGATGGAAAATAAGCAAATGTTTCTTACTTACCAGTACCGGTACGGTGTGTTAGTCAGGAGCAGCAACAAGCCACCATCTCGCCTACTTCAACATGCATAATTTCCTGTGCAGGCGTGGGTTATTTTCAAAAGCTGGAAACCAAAACTAGTATATAGAGAAGCACTTACAGAATGCGAATGCACTAAATGTCCACAGCAATAAAAATAACAGCATCAAATATGGTATTTTTAATAAAAATCTAAAAGAGTGGGGAGACCCTAGAAATTAAGAGTTTGTGGTCATTGGGACCTTGTGCAAAAAGTGACTCTTCCAAGCATGAAGGCAAGAAGGATCATGCTCTATGTGCACTTTTTAAATTACACAATGTCAAGGCCTCAGCATATGATTTTGATGGCAAGAAAAATATGACAAAATAGCTTTTTTAAATGGCATGATAGATCGTCACTGAACAAAAAAAAACAAATCTGAAAACAAAAAGCTGAACCTGGAGGTTTTCAGAGATCAGAAATGAGTCAATACTACATAAAGCAAAACAAGCTACAGTATGAGGACAGTGTGAGATGTGCGGTTCTGAGAGCCAGAGTGGACCATAGCTACTATGTTCCACTCCTTTACTATGAAGCGAAGTCTGCTCTGTCAACACGACAAGGAAGCGGATTGGAAGAGGACCTCTCTGACACCTCAGCAGCATGACATTGATGGATGGGGAGTGTGGAGACTTGAGCGCCGGCAGACTGTGTTCATAATGCAGTGAAGTAAAAAATATAATCGACCATCATGTGATGGTTAGGAGCAGGGAGGGTCGACAGGAGGAGCTGAGTGATTGTTGGAGCAAATGAAACCATCCATCAAAGCCCAGCAGAGTCATCACTTTATGGTTGTTCTATCCCATGTGCTGCCGTGTGCTTTGAAATAAAAGTTTTGGTCTTTCTAATTTCATTTATTGAACCCTAAATAGCCCCCCCTTTATTAGTCTCCCACTATTGCATTTCAATGTGTATTTTGTGATGAAACTTTAATTTCTGCTTCTCCCAAACTCCAGAATTACTTTTAGGAAGGAGGAATGGAATCTCCCTGTTTTCCTGTCGCTGAACCGTACAACCAGCCACCATCCAGATTTATTTCCATCGCCTCCTCCCCTTGGAGGCCAGGAGTTAATCTAATCCCCTAAATTAACTTCACACTGTTATGAAACTCTAATTGGCCTAATCAGGGAACTGATTAGAAACACACACAAAAAGAAATGAATGGAAGGAAAAATAAATCCACATTAAAACCTCAAATCATCAGTTGGAGCTGCAGTGCAACACAGAGTTGTTTAGTATCAAAGCCGACAAAGGGCATGTTCCTAATTGCTCATTTTAGTGGTAATTGGTGTTTTCCTCCTGTTCAGGCCATGACCTCATTCTTGAAAAGTGGGTTCAATTAACTTTATTGCTCCTTAAAAAAAAAAAAAAAAAAAGACTTAGGTGAATGGTGGAGGTTGAACAGAGCTGGCTGCCGCCATCACTGCATTGTACTTGTACTCTGTTCATCCCTGTCCTTTAAGCCGTATTTCACTGCTGGGAAGTTGTTCTTTTCAGAAAACAAGGCTGTGTATACAGGAGAAAGACACATACTTGAAATTGGTGCTGTATGACCAGAGAACACAGTGAAAAAGGGCTGTGGCTTTTGTTCAAGAAATAGAAAACCTACAACCACCATAATGCACTGCACTTCACCAGACCAATAAACACTCCCACTGGTGGGTGACGTCAAAGACGGTGGATAAACCAAGATGGTCCACTGCGAGTCAGTTTCCTGTATCAGTGTCACGTGGGGTTTGCGACTGCCACGCCCCTTTAGGAGACTAACAGCAGGTCTTGAGTCCATTGACTTCAGTGGGAGAAATGAACGTGATTACAGATTATGGCCCATTCTTTGGCCCCATAGTCATGGAAGCAAATATTGGACCCATTTATCACAAGCCACATATCTTCAGAGCATTCCAACACCAAAATGGCAAATTTCAGACAGACAAATCAGGAGAAAATTGACTTTGTTCAAGACCGGTCTCTGTCTCAACAACACACTCTCGCGAGATCTGGTAACAGATATCTCCTCTCTGGTGCTGAAATCAGTGCAGTTTCACCAAAGATACTGGATTAAAAAAATATTTTTTCCAGCAAATAACTTAGTTACAACATGATTGAGCTAGCAAAGCAGTTTTGTGTTGCTATGTGTGGTATTTATTCAGTTTTGGGAAATCACGATGTCTAGAAAGCATCAGTGGCTGCAGCTGACAGGGACAGCTAACAGCAGCAGCAAAGCTAACATCAGGACGTCATCTGTTAAAAGCCTCCCGTTGTCGGATACGAC